TGTCTTACCTGCGCTCAGTTGCACGTTAATTGTGATGTACAAAAGAAATGTGCGTGGATTCAGGCGTACACACAGTTTGATACATCTGGATTTTTTTGTGCGRACGCKYTTTTCTGGATTTGACCGTACGTCAGGTTTCAGTAAGAAATCCACGCAAGTCGTTGTACATGAGGCCCCTGGTGTTCTGCAAAACAGCATCGGTGAATATTCAGGCCATTTCCTGGCTGCCTGACCAATATGAAGGATTGCGTGCTTTCAGCACTCAGACTCTAGCCCTGTGCGAGCTGGAACTCGGTCTGCAAGCGGTTCTTGATGAGTGTCGCGGGCCGGTTGCGCTCCCTGGACTTTGCTGGCGAGATTGAATTGATCTTGGTGAAGCTGATAGCTCGGCCAGCGGGATTGCCCACACTTTGTCTGATTGGATTCATCACCTGGAGATGTACCAGCAGACATTAAGGCAGATGGGAAATTATTACTGTCTGCCTGACTGAAAACATTTTCTTCTGTTCCCAAACAACTGTGATTACGGGTTTGACTCTTGTTTATGTTCTGTCTTGTGAACAGGTGTTCTGAACTGTAATTTCCCCTTGGGATCAATAAAGTATCATCATCAAATAAACAAACCTAGTAAAAAAAATCACAGTTAATTGTCTATTAAAAAATAGAAAAAAAATCGAATTGGACTTTTTGTTATTTTCTTAAAGGACTGATCCTTACTGAGCTGTGACTTAGGCCTAAGTTGGCGGTGACTAAAGTTGCACCCCTGTTTTTTTGGCCTATTTTTGTTTTAATTGTTTTGTCTTGTTTCCTTCTCTTTCATAGTCTCCACTGAAGAACACCAGTAGTGATTGGTCATTCTCAGAGTTGGACATTTTGCTGCTGGCAGGAACTGTCGGTCACACACTCAGCTTGGCAGCAAGCAGTTTTGTAGAGGAGGAGCATCAGACCTGGTATTTCCTGCTCAACACACTCTGCCTCGCCATTTTTCAGGATGTCTGCCGCAAGTACTTTAGAGAGCAGAACGGCGCCGGACATGAAGATGAGAATATCCTACCTTCCAAAGACAGTCATTTCTCTGTTCACCACAAATCAGGGATGTGCTCAGAGAAGTGGTTAGCCTTGGCTACTTCACCCTTCACACTAGTTTGCTGCAGACTGCTGCGCTCCCTCAACCAAACGGGAGTTCAGTGGGCTCATCTTCCTGATGTCGGCCATTGGCTTAACAGGTTAGCAAACACAGTGGGTCTGATATCTGCTTAAAGAGTTCATGGAATTAGTCTTTTGGTGGAAAAATGTTCAATATAAAGTAATGGATAGAAGGTTACTGCTGGATTTCTAGAAGAAAATCATTGTTTTATATCAGTTTAGTAAACCAAAAAAAATCGTAATAATAAGGAGGCTTCTTTTCAAAATGTAGCATCTTTATTTTTTCAAAGGCTTTTGATGGTGAATGGTTCAGCCTATCAATGCTGGTTTATTTAATGTATGAACAGCAAACACACTGGTTTATGTGTAGCTTTAAGAATTCATTTTGGAACATAACATCTCAAAATGCATGATGTACTCAAGATGAATAGTTTATTTGAAAGAGCAAAGCACAAAAAAGCATGTATAAATTAATTTTTGTACTACTGATCCTTGTACTTCTATTCTTGTTCTATAAGAATAGAAGTACAATAGTAATATGTTCTTATTTTGTAGTTTTAACCATTCATATTTTAAATTAATACTCACATTAACTTGTACAAATATTTTACTCTGTAAGAAAGAGTCACATTTTGGATAGTATCTCACTAGGCTGTGACTAGGTGGAAACTAAAAATTAGAAGAACATGGTGAGCTTTCTATTGTCGCCTGTTTGAATTCTGAATGTTTGAGACTAAGAAACCAGCAAACTGTGTGACCAAGTTTTGCACAATCACAGCTTATTTTTGTTTGCACATCTGCAAAACTATATCCTAATCTATGCACACTTTGCCCACCTCTGCCTACATTATGGCCACCTTTCCTGGCGGAGGGAGATTTGAACCTTTTGTGAATAATTATTATTAGCGGCGCACCAATACCACACTTTTTCAAACTAAGTACAAGTGCTTACATTTGAGTTCTTGTCAGTTCTGAATAACCAGTATGTGCACTAAAAAATGCTGTTAAACTTCTTACAATTACTTTTAAAATGTGTTTAAAACTCATAGAATACTTTTCAAGAAAGATATGGTATCCAGTAGAGCTGATGGTTTTATGTAGTTTCTGTATTTTATTACATTTTATTTGTCCTTTTAATGTTCTTTATAATTTACAGCTTTGATTGTTCAACTTTTTATTTGACTGAATTGCAAAGCACTTCGGTGAACTTCTGTTGTTTTTAATGTGCTATAGGAAAAAAACTGACAGTGAAAATTTTGGTCAACTCCTCAAGTAAAGCCAGGACAACCCTGGTCTTTTCCAAAAGCGCCCATTGGTAAACAGTGAGATTGTCCGGCAGGTCATGCTTGGATCTGTATATCCCCAGGCCTGCTCTACATAATGGCAGACTGTAGTTGTATCCCACAGCTAACAGCAAACTCTTTGAACTTTGTGTTATGCTGGATTTTTAGATGTTTTTTAAATTACTTGTGTTGAAAGTGCTAGGTTTTTGTTTAGTTGTCTCCTTTACTTTGGGCCCACTGTTGTTAAATTTGAAATGGTGTCAGGCACTGATGAGTGCAAATATGAGCTCTCAGACATTACAGATATCTCATACTGGTATTATTAATAATGCATCCCTAATTATTGATATTCAGCGTGGTTAGACCTAGACGGTCTGACCTGTAAACTCAAATGTTCTCTGTGAGAGGAGAGTTCCCATGTGAGTGTGAAAATATAAGTCTTCTAGAATTATGGGAAAACAAGACAGGTTCAAGATGCCCACAACAACTTTTGCAAAAGAAAACTCATCACATAAAGTTTTTGGCCATGTTAAAAATTCAAGTGATAAAACTACGAGCATTTATGTTGATATAATGTTGAGAAAATGAGAACCCCATGTGGAAACTTGTCTCCAGTGGTCGCAGCCCAGTGAGATTCTGGCTTTAGCTTTTTTTTTTTTTTACTGTCTTTAAGATGTTTTAAAATAAATTCAGAGGAAGCACAAGAGATTTAAGAGGCTAATAAAAAGAAACAATGATTTTACCCTGAGCCCTGTCTGCTGCCCACTTTACTGCTCAGGCTGAGGCTTTTATTTAAGTGCTTCCATTTAAACAGGCCACACGTTTAAGTGCAGCTCTCTTTGTGAGACCTGTAATTTGCAATCAGGAAAAAAATAGAAATGCTTATTTAATAATTTAATTTTGGTGATTATCAAGCTGTAATTTGCCATAGTTTAAATAAAATAAATTAAACATTAAACAATCTAACAAAAAAAATTACAATGTTTTTTCCTCTACCAAATAGTACAAGGTAAGATCTTGTAAAAGAAACTGGATTATCTTGTGATATGCTGCAGTTTTTTTTTTTTCGAAAAACAGACTGCAAATATACAAAATAGAAGTGGCTAAGAATACGCCGACGTGTACACAAACACACAGACACACACACATGTTTGTTTCTTGACCCCGTGGGGACCTTCCATTGACTTCCGTTCATGTTTTTTAGTATTTATAGCCTAACCCTGACCATATAACTAGATACCTCATAGTGGTAACATAATGACCCCGCACGCACAAATGCACCACAACTCAGAAATCTTTATTCCTTATTAATGTCATGCTACCAGGTGCATCCCAAAATTGTAGTGGTTTGGCTGGGGGTCTTTTTTTTTTGGAGGGGGGTGGGCCGATGGATAGAGCTTCATCAGAGCTAAACAACAAAAGAAATCTGAAGCTCTTATGTTTAATAGTTTGTGAGTTATAAGCATTTTTGCATGTCCAGACACCCCCTCTTTGAAAGGAGCCCCCTCCTCAAATATGGGGTCTTTAGTAAAACCGTTAGCTGGTGCAGTGTAGTTTGGACTCATCTACAGACCTGCCAAATTTCATGTTGATTGGTGCAGCCATTTTTGTGCTACGGTTGACCAAAAGTCACTGAAAAAAAATACGAAAACAAAATGACTTCTGCTTAACATAATTAACCTCACAGGTACCTACCTGACCCTAAAACTAACCTAAACCTTCATCCTAAACCTAACCCCACACCTGTAACATGCATTTGGACCTGGTCCCCACGATTCACTTCGGTCCCCACGAGGCTGCTTTTTTTTTGTTAAAAAATTTCCTACATTGTAGGAAAAACACACACACACACACACACACACACACACACACACACACACACACACA